GTGCGACGCATTCTTCACGGTGACATGGGTCCAGAGTTGATGGAGTATTTCCGTCTGCACCAGCAGGCCAGGACTCGTGGACATGGACTTACGCTGTTGAAGCTTTCGTCCGTATGTTCCGGCTATCGCGAAGGATAACCATCCTTTGGAACTCCCTTCCAGCTGACGTGGTGGACGAGGTCAATGATAAGGTGTTCAAGAGGAAGCTCGACACCGTCCTGCGAACAATGTGGTATGCAGATCTATCATGAATGAGACCTTCGAGTCTGTGGTGATGAGACTCATACGGGAAATTACCCTCTGCCTCTAATTGAAGAACATTGAACATTGAACATACGTGCTTGATTTTCAGGATGGAATCCAAAAGAAATTTTATAATGGACGAACTGTTGACGAGAGAAGCGAACTGCGAGCCAAATTGCACAATGTCAAAGGAAGGAAGGAATATCAAAAGTTGTTTATCTAGCTGATTGTATCTAGCATTTCTCAGTGTACACTTCGAGGAGTAAATTAGTGCCGATATATCGTGATATCTATACCAGTGAAACCGCAGTCATTGTATGAAGACTGCTGGTTGATAATATGCCACAATAAAGTGAAACTTAGCGTAACGATGTTTGCGACCACAAAGGAATACACAAAAAGCAACAACACAGGATGGACTGTTTGTTGATTCTTCAAGCTTGTAACGCAGAGCGAAATCGGTGAATTTTTCGTATTTGCCTTTATCAATAAAGCGACCTAAAGAACGAGTACATTTGCGTGCCGGCGATTTTATTACTATATGTTATTTTTAATGTGTCTATGTCCAACTCAATTTCCGCGTCCATAGTTACTTTGTCCACATTACAAGGCCCCAACTGGTCATAAAGTCCAAGTTTAGAATTTTTATCACAACCATTTTATCGGGATAGCTGCTCATTTATTTGCTGTATACAAAGAAAAGCAATAACAACAAAGCAAACCAAAGATAATCATGAGGATTCATAGATTATTAAAAATGTATGACTAGAATTACATTCAGCTGCGTGCACGTCTTACAATTAGTTGCCAAACTCTGGTGCATTGCGTACGCTTGGGATTTGATCAAAATCAGAAAACAAGTAGTCGATGTTGAATACTTTGTGATACGGTAATTATTCGGTTTCTTAGGAAAGAAGAACGTGAGTCACTCTTTGTCAGGGAAAATGAATAATTCAATGAGAATTTATTAGGAGAGAAAAATAGAATATCAATAGACCCTTACCTTCCATCGAACCGCAATTGTCTGGCAAGGCTTGGTGGGTGTTCGATCCGATACCGGTTCGCCGTACAGCCGTCGAAGGAACTCACGATCAACAGTACGCAAACTGGTGGAAACATCCTCCGGTGCCTCACAGGGGTAAGAGGGACGGGTGAACATGACTACAGATGGACGACTATATGGACTGGGTCCTGCATCCGTTATTGCAGCCAGACGAAATACATAGGCTGAATACGGAGTGAGGCTAAAATAGTTTAAAAAATAAAATATGCATATATGTGAATGTTCACAGTATTACCTTCATTCAATAGGTTAGTGGTGAACGAAAGGAAATGAACAAAGCGGCCGAAGCGGAGTGAATTGGAATAGTGTGTAAAAAGACAACCATAGCGCGTCAAATATACAGTTAGTTCACAGATCTGGGTTGATGCTGTGTGTTGTCGATGGTAATTCAAAGTCAAATAATGGTACAATTTATGTTTAGCTGTACGATTTGCTCCTTCAATAATTTTTATTATATGAGTTTCCTTCGTCTCATCAGATAACTCGCTGTTTTGAGATCAATATTTCGTTATTAAGTATGGATCATACACCGTTTTCTCAGTTTGTTCTTATGGGCCTATATATTGTTTCTCGCGGACGAAAAGAAAAGTGATGATTTTGGTCTATTTGCGGTCAAAGTAGATTCAATTCGTTTATCAGGATTCACTGGTTATGTTAAATTATATTAAATTAAATTATATTTAAATTATTATTATCGCCTGTGTATAAAATATATATCGGGTGACGTTTTCAGAGAATGCTTGACAATAATTTATTATTTCTATCGAGCTTATGTTTGAATCCTGCTTTCTGTTTTCTTCACACAAGTAATTCCTCATTGTATAGCTCAATTACACACCTAATCGTGCTCCAATCTATCAATGGAACTTCTAGGTTTACATGTAATAGTGAATACATGTCTAAATCACAACATGTTGACTCATTACTCAGGGCCAGAGTTTGGTGATATCAGGGTTGCTTTTCAGGCATAAATATGAAGAAATAATCTGCATTGGTATGTTTTTGAAATTACACAAGCCATTATTAAAACTGCAAGAGGAAGCATCGTCATTGGTCACGTTGAACTGTTTCCAGGTATTTTCGTAGCCCCACACAAAAAGCACTCTACTCTGGAAAATCAATGCGAAGGTAAAAGGTAAGGAGTCCCACTTGGATCAGACATAGCAAAGGGGTGGGACAACAAGAATACTTAGTGGAAACGCGGTGATAGCAATACTATGACAGAGCCAGACAAGCCACGAAATCTAGTTATTTACAGAAGTCTGGTTTGTGACGTCGAACTGTTTTTTCTAGGTTTATGTGGGAAATCGAGCTGGAAGGAAATCTTCCATCCATTCAGAGCTGAATTTTTCCGGACGTGAGCTGAGATCCTAGTAGACAGTCGTCTCTCATTTCTCCCGATATATTTCCTACCGTAAGTTTATTGATGAAGGTTAATACATCAGATGTTTCGATCGTCCAGCTTGTCAAAGTTGGAGTTGGTGATCGATCTTATTCCTTCATTGAGAGTAGTTGGCGAAGAGACATATTATATTCACAAACGAGCTTGTTGTAAGCGAAAACCTGCTAGATTTACACTATGGTAGAAAATACCTGAGTCATTATTTTTGATTGCTCATTTAATAACCTGTCTCTCATCCTTAAAAAATGCTTAGCACATAAAATTTCGAGCCAAACGAATCGAGTTTATTCCGCGTTCGTGCGATCATTGCAACATCGAAGTCAGTTCGACAGTTTAGGTTTGTAAGCTCCTCTGCAAAATGAGTCTACTTCTGATGTTTCTTATTCATGTTGAAACCTTGCAAGCCCCAGCATTTGTAGCCAAGTCCCGGGCAAGAGCTTTGCGGTCCAATGCACAGAAAAAGAAAACAATTCACTCATAAACTACTGGAAGAAACGGTATTATCGAAGTGGAATATCAGTTCTCAGTTTATCAGGATGAAATCAAGTTATTCTTTTGCGTTTACAGAGCTCGTTTAGATCGGCCTCACGCAGCGGCCGTACACTTGGAGATCTGTACTCGGTTTTCATCTTGAAAACAACTCCATGGAAGGAAAGATAACTCCACCACCTCGTTAAATATAACACTTGTCTTCTGAATGTAATAAGGTGACTCATCTGGACGGTCGTTGTGAGATGAGAACGGAGTTGATCTGCCTAGGGCTAGATCACAGAATATTCATAAATCCATTTCAATAACACTGACATGAATGATGAGCTGCTTTTGATCAGGAAAGTTCCTGTAGAATAACCATAAAATCCCAATCAAATTTTACTATCCCACTAAGTCAGTCGTTGTGTGCTGCGGAGTTTTCTGTTGCGGTATTTATCCAAACTCTGTTTACATAACACGACTCTGATGATCTTCGCAGCTGAACAGCAAAACATGTTCTGCTTTTAGCTTGTTTCAGCTAGTTTTAGATAACTTTTGTCGGGAACTGCCTATCTTTTGAAAGGAAAACATTCCCAGATTAAAGTCACTGGAATTGAGAAAATAAAAATATCTTTGGTAAAATTTTCACATAAAAGTTTATTAAATGGTGTGTAGAACTGCTTGAGTTTGAGCTATTTCATCCTGCTATTTTGCAGTAGAACGTTACCGGAACAACAGAAGAACGCTGGGCTTATTTGAGATATAAGTTAAATGTAACTTCGGTTGTTCGCCTCTTTGTGTAAAACTAACCTGAAATATACAAACAGTCATATTTGCTCAATCAGATTGCCAAAACGTACCCGAGCACATGAAACGCATCTTCTTGCCCCAGTTGTGGAGATGGTTTGTAAGTGATCCAATCCGATTGACTGAAATCCTGCGGTCCGAGTGTGTCAGCCAGTTCGTTCAGTGTGCTCACATCATTCTGATTGGTCAGTTGACTCAAACGAATGTACTGCAGACTGTAATTTCGTATCGGCGCAGTGTATCTTGGTGCTGTGATCTGATACTGTTTTTGGTTTCCCACGGGCTGGAGCGAACTGGGATAATTTGGCCAAGCGAGCTGAATCCAACCATGATTGCATGTAGATCGCGTAGTCGCTGAGGTTCCTAATGTTCCTGTAAACGTGTTCATTGGTGTTGAGGTCAACCAACGATAAGGTGGATTAGGCGGTCGAAAGGGTTTTATCCACTGCTCTGTGGGGATAATCTGTACCTTTATGGCAACAATGAAGTGAAAGGTAAGCAAAAATGATCAAATTTTGTTTTTTACCATTAAACTGGCAACGAATGGCTGTACTTCAGAAATTACAGATATCGAACTAAGCAAACCAAAGTTTCGTTTGTCCAAATCACCCTCCATGATAATAAGATGACTGCAGATCAAAATAACTGAGAATCAAACAAATCAAATTTACGCTGATTAACTGGGGCAGATTTCACAGATATCAGTCTCTCCTCATCCTAACCGATTGACAAAGTTAACAGTTGGCTTATTCAATCGTCGTTTGATTGATAGATATAATTTCTTTCTTCTCAAAATTGGGAGTTACGGTAGAAAACCGACAACGATTTTATGGAAGCGTGCGTGCATATCTAGGTTTCACATCGAAAGAGCGAAGAATTTCAGAATCTATTGTATCGCCTGAAACACCCTATTAATAGTTCTCTAACGCCTAGGTAGGTTAATCAAAAGCGTTCCCAACTAAACCACTTGTTATGACAAAGAATGAGATCTGGCCAGAGTCCAGTCGTGTATAGAGAAAAAGGAGTGTGAACTGAAAATTTTGTAGGCTTTATACAGCTGTTTCAGCCTTATTGGGTAAAATCAACGGTTCAAATTCACTGGTGGTCATGGTGGTCTTGGATTTGACTGCCAGTTGGATCAATGAATTTCCATGACTTCTCAGCATTAAGAAACTTGAAGCAAGTGCATTAACTTCCGTCATACGGGGTCGCATCATGCTCGTATAGCGTCTTATAGTTCGACCTATCATATATGACATCCGCATGACCGGCCCAAGGATTATTGATATTGGCTATTGTCACATCGTGCCAGAGAGCTCGAGTTCGAACCATCTTACCCTTATATACCTATCTTACTTGTTACTATAAACAGACCGCTTTTTTAATTGCTTCTCACCGTCCAAAATAGGTTTACACAATCGTGATGTCAAGGAAGTGAACTAGTGGAAGGACAAAAATGTCCATATCATCAATGCCAACCTTCTTCCGAAAGCACCAATCCATTGAAACGAAGTGGTCTCAGTGAAGTAATCCATTAGGTTTCCGTAATACATTCCACTAACACTTTGCTAACCTTATGATTTTTCTATAACCACCGAACTATTCCTGTTCATTATCCTCTCAAGAAGATTACAAGAACGACGTACTGAAGGTTGAGATCAGTTCGTAATCGATCGCCTAGATGGAGATACTACTGATACGAGACACATCAATCGATTTTCCTAAGTAGAGGTTATCACGCTGAAAGGGATGTAAATTGGTGAGTAAATAAATAAACACGCTGGGATTACCTTGAACGGATTTGATTTCATAAGTTTATTGGAGGTAACTGGCGAAGTTTCTTCATTCAAATTAACGCAATCTGTTTTACGGATCAAAAGTTTTCTCAATTCAGTCATTTTTTCTATTTATGTCAAACAACTGGATGTGAAGCAAGTAGTTCGACGGATCCCAAACGTTAGAGGTGTCAGGTAAAGCAGGCAGTTGAACCCCTGGGAATATTATTTGGGTGGAAGTTGGATTTCACTTGAATATAATTTCCCGTGAAACGAAATTAGAGACTTTGGACTAGCTGTTTATTTTACTCCTCTCGGCGTTCTCAGAGCAGACTTGGAAACCAGTGTACAAACGTACCGTCTTATAACTTTGATTCTTGATTTGATCTACAATCACTATTCAACAGTACGGATATAATAAAACGGGGTCAGATTAAAGAAAAGTCAAACGTTGCGCAGCGCTAATTGCAGTTACTGTCGTAATCCGACTGGACTAACATTAATTTATCTCACAGCTGGTTTACAGGAGCACTCAAATAAGCCTAGGTAACCGTCCTGAACTTCCGTGTGTATTAGATATCACAATCAAAATTGAATGAACATTTGCTTAGTAAGTGCGAGTCTACTATTAACCAATATGCATTCGTTTTATCAGCTTACTCCACCGATCTGTTCAAACCGTGTTCAGTTCTATGTTTATCATTCGTTCACTCGCTTTTATTGGGATCGGTGAAAGTTCAATTCCTGTTTAAAATCGCGTAAATCGCCCAAGTATTCAGTTGCTTCGACCTCTGCTGCGATTGATGGCTGTGTTGGTGTGTTAAAATCACTTTATTTAAGTTGTAGCATTGTGACTGTGATCGCCTTCCATCCAAACTGGTATAAAGAATGTAAAATATGTTCATCAGAAAGAAACGTTTCACTTTTGAGCACGCATCTCATGAGGTTTGGATGGGTCTTTCACTGGTCTAAGATCAGACGCAGTACATGCTGATGAGGCAGTTCATCGAAGAATACAATAACTTATCACCTATAACATGTAAACCGAGAAGACGCGGTTATTCGGTTTCCTGCAGCACATGATTCTATTCTCTCTTTTTAACTCGGCAATTTTTTTTCGGTCTTGAAGGTCATTCTATTCGATGACAGTTGTCAACTCTAGTGGTGAGCCCAGCGGATTGTAAAATGCTGACGAGGGACAATCGAGGTCTGGTTGCATACGTGCATGTGCGCGGAAGATGACCGAGCTGTATGTTTGTCAGTGGGTGTGTACGGATGGGGAAGACTTGTCAGAAGGTGACATTTGATGAACCGAGAAGTAAGAACTGGTCAACCAGCTCTCAGTCTACTTCCCTTTACCCAGTCATTCTCCTCTTGTTAGGCTGAGCGAGTTTTGACATGACAGATTCAACCGTGGCTCGTGTCGCATCCTGCTAGTCTGAGTCAAACTGTTAATGTCCTGTCCAGTACTGAAGCATGTAATCGCATCTGTTCCCGTTCGCCAATCCCTTACCCCGTTTGTTTAGGCAGTCTGCTGACCTAGTCCGAGCAGCAAGCGCGTACACACACACACAAACACACACGGTCGTTGGCATCCACAAAGTGACAATACGAGTGGAATGCAGTGGTCACCACCACCACCATCAGCAACACTAGGTGCAAGTAGAATAATCGAGGTAGTCTGACCGGGCATGTGTACATCACACACAGACATACACACGGCACAACCACAGATAGACTAGCAGCAGGTGATAATTACTCGGTCTAATTGACCACATGAAGTATAGGTCGATTGTACCTGTGCATTTTCGTGAAACTTGATCAGATGAAATTTATCGGAACTAAATGACCTAGAGAACCTTCGAAAGACGACGTATACATTATAATATAATCTCATATCTTTCAAAATATAAAACCAATTTCTCAAATATTTCTTGAGTAAGTATGTGACCATCAAACCAAAACTATGTCATTTGGAGGGAAATCCGTGGTTGCGACAAGTTCGGCAAGCTTATGACGCAGTTTTTCTAGTTTATTACAAAACAGGATAAAGTAAATGAACGATACTGTGCCCTCTGCTTTCCACGGATTCCAGAACCCAGTCGTGATTACGATTCGTCAGTGTTGGGGTTTTGGCAGTATACTCTTTCCCAGTTCTGTCATTTCATTTGAGCATAGGGTTGATCACTTTCGCAGGTATCCAACAACAAACCGTTTTCTTTGGTCATAAACTGTTACCGAATTTGCTACGCATGATCTTTGTTCCATATTACATAAGCTTCGTCCTAGTAGAACTGAAACTGGATTGTCTGTGCCTCATCTGAAAGCGACTGCCCAAAGTCAGTCACTCATCGATTGCTCATAGACGGAAATGAAAGATTTGCAACTCTTATTAGTTTATATTTTGTTTTTTCAATTGCTATGCGTCAATCATCCTGTGGCGGTATGTTTTGGCCCAGTACGGGTCTTCCCTTTTTCAAAACATGCACCAGATGAAACATGACAGTTGAAAACAGGAAGGAAGATCGTTCAAGAAACAAATTCCAATCTCCATTCACAACGTTTCTCCCTTCCGGTGCTCCATAGGATAACCGCAGTGTACCACACAACAAGAAACTTTGTTGAGACACCGAAATTAACTATACTTTGTTCTTGCACGCTGGTTTCATTTACGATTGATAAGCGATTTCTTTGACCAAAAAATAAAGCTACTCCAAATGATTTAACGCAAATAGATCTAGAATATTTGGTATTATATTGACGATCCTATTGTGATAATAACACGACGAGAGATCGGAAGGGAATGACAAAATACACTTAAATGGTAAAGCATATGAACGATAACACTAGGAAGGGTTTAAGTGGCTAATAGATTTCATTTCATTCATCAATAATGTTTCTTTGAAGTTGGAAACGAGACATAAAAACGAGAAGAATGAAGACGCATAACTAAACGGACGTAGATGTAAAGATAGATGAATACATACATGGACAGAGAGATAGATAGATACTTGTCCAGATGATTTCCTGAAATTTAACTAATTATTGGACTACAAGATCAACAAGTTACCATGCTGGAATTTGTTGAATAAGCATTTTTCCCTTGTATAGTATTGTTTTACCAAATGTGTCACCAAAATCAGCCACACCGGTTTGTAGTGCATCTAGGGTAAAGGACCGGGTCCGGGTGAAAGAGTTACGAGTCGAGGCCAAAGCACTGTGGGTCGGTGCTAAATAGTTGTGAGTTGAGACTGACGTTTGATAGAGAGAGGTGTATAGAATGTGTTCCACCATGTCTCTTTAACTGCCTACTGAATGTACAGGTGTTAAAAGCGAGCAACAAAGAAATAAGCCAATCATTGTCTACCTTTTGATTGAAAAATGCTTCAAACGGTTCAGATAAGCTTTGGTTTCCTTTGAAGATACTTATAATTTACAGTGATTTCCTGGATAGCCAATAATTTCAATTTATTCCAATTTCATATCAGATTATGTGTGACAAGACACTCATTATCAGCAGAAGCATCGATCTAGACCTTGGAACAGGGAGTAGACAAATATATACAACCTGTGCTGTTGCTCTCCGCTTATCATGATGAAATACGGAATGTCTTGATTTAAATTTCGTTACCTTCCACAACTCTTTATATACACAGATTTGAAAATAACCTATTCCGTATCACAGATGTTTTCGTTGTTGTATGAAGGAGAGGCTTTTATCCATGACAGACTTCATGAATCTTCAGGATCATGCATGCACTTATTCTTCTTTCCGGAAAAAAGCACGCCATGTGGCATTCATGTTTCTTGAAAATAAAGCGATCGCGAATTTTAAGAGGTTCCCAAAAATTTTCTGTTGACCGTTAAAATTTAAGTAGACCGTTTATTACTCGCATAACAGTACGTTGGAAAAGACCACAAGATTATTGTATATGGAAAGGTTTAGAAAACTACTCTCAAATCGGTGACCTGTGAGAAATGGAGGATTTGATTAAATTTCAGAGAGCAAATGAAACGGGAACTCAAGAGCTAGAAGGCACTGGAAGCAGCGCTTCGATCTAGTTGGGTCCGATCAGCAGNGTGCCAATTCATCGATGCAACCGACGGTCGAACCGGGGACCTCACAGGTAGAACGCGAGCATTCTACCAACTCGGCCACCTGGCAGCTGATCGGATCATTGTCCCAGTTGGGTGGATGGATTCGCACTGCTGATGATGAGACCTACCCAGGTTGAAACAGCTGCACAATACTTCCTAGCTTTTCATTTCACGCTTCATTTGCCCTATACACCACGAATTCCCTCACATGACGCTTACCACTCGACCACGGCATTTTTATTTGTTTTTTGCACCTCAAACTTCAAATCAGCAATGTGTCTTGGGTGAATTTTCCCTTCTTTAATGAGAATTTCCTTTAGAAAATAAGCAAAACTTATCGAAAATAACATTGTCATTATTCGATCATTTACCAAATTGCATTCACATCTAAATTCACTTTGGTGTTCAGAAGCATCTTGGATACCTTAGTGAATCAGCATGGGACCAAATAATAAAAGCTAATCAGTAGTTGTAGGATAGGAAAAAATTAGTGATTAGGTAGGAAGCTTAAATACTGACATATAATAACTTGATGATTAAAGAAAATCGAAAAGGAGATTAGCAACCCAATTCGGTCGCGGGAATGTAGCATATTGTTGAAAATTCCTTTTATTTTTGAGGACAGTCCCAACCCTAAGGTTTGCGGTTCGAGTCCTGACAGGGACACAAAAATTACGCAATGATGACGAGTCCCAAGCACTACGAAAGAGCTGTCCAGTTCTCCTTGTCGGTTATCACAAACAGTTAGATTGCATGTAAATTTACGTTACTTCTGAAGCCATATCCAACCATTCATTACGATGATATTTTAATCGTTCGAATTACAATTAATGTATTGTTGAACGTAATGGAAACGTTTGGTGAATGTCGAAGGTTTTGATATCCATGGAGATTTTATTCCAACTGTGCCTCTCCTTCATTATCTCACGGATATGTATGACTTAAGAATAATGTGCACTGCATGGCCAATCTTCCTGTGGTAGCTTTCAAAAAATGTTAAAAAAGGGGACTCACTGTTATTGTTTGCCCAAAGTGGCATCCGCTTCCATGGATCCGAGGTCTCGTATCACCTTCATCATCATCATTATCCTCATCAACAGTAAAGCGGTATGTACTGTCCGCGACCAGTCCATCCACTGTCACAAGAAACACCGCTTCCGCCTCCCGACTTAGCGACTGTGGCCAATTGAGTAGACGTCTTGCCAACACACCAATTGGCACTTGAGTGACCGAGTCGATCTCCTGCCATCGCAAAGAGACACTGTGTTTCGGGCGTTGATTGCGGTCATAGCGTGTAAGCTTCCAGCTGAGTAGTACTCGTCCTACTGTGATGTTGGTCTGTTCCAATTTGTTTAGCGTAATTGACCTGAGTGAAATGGAGCCTAATGTGTGTGGTAAGAGATGAATGATATGCGATAAAAGAAACTATAAATATTTGGTTGTTAGTTTTCAAGTGTATGTCACAGCATGGCAGATTGATGAAGTTTTACATGGAAAACGTGTGTGAGGAGAAAGCAACAGTTCAAGACTGATCCGCAGAATGATGAAGCGGATCAACTTGAGGAAGTTTGTTTGTTCTACTGAAGTGAGCAGTCAATGAGATGACCAGCATTAAACAACATTAAAGAGAAAAGCTAATTTCTCGATAGGAATTAACTCCTGGTGGTCACACTGGATCTAGTGGAGGTGGATGTAGCAGTACCTTGCCACAGGTGTCCCCAAATCATCGATACTAACTTCGATTATTTGCTTCAAAGTATAAACAAATTAGTGTGAAAGCATGGTTAAGATGATGTTATGGCTGAACACCATTCACTGATCAAGTGATAATACAAAAGAATAGACGGTTTGTTATATTGTTATATATATCAAATAGATTCCTGCGATTTATATACCTTTTGCCAAAAAATCAAACTCAAATTCTATTCAAAGTTGTTGTTTGTTTGTGCGATCAAACCAGGTGAAAAACAAAGTGAAGAATTCCGTTTTCTCTTGAGTTATCGTCCAACAAAGTGACAAATGACAGAATTCATACAGCCGGACACGCATGGAATTTACGTTTCATTTTTTGCGGGCCCTAGAGGGAAACTTCAGTGAGATGTTATCTGGGCCAGGTAATCTTATTATTATTATTATTATTACAGTGTTAATCAAATTAAAATATCATTTGTCAACTGGTGATCTAACATGCTGTTTCTACTCATGCGGTAGTTCGAAGATTGCCTTTGTGATGCGATGCTTTAATCCGGATATAAAGAACGTAGTCATATATACTCAGCATATTACTGTTTGCCGATTTTGAACATATGTGAATAACTCAATATGGTCGAATGCACCAGTCTGCCTCTTGAACATGTCTTTCAATGCTGAATTTCCTTGAGCGCTTTCAAACGAACGTGCGGTTAACCCAAAGGATGATCAATTCTAGAAATGTGATTAGGCCGTTAGTTTTTGTTGTTGTTCATTGCAAGGAGAAAACTAGCTTGATCCACCTAAACCCAGTGACAATCTGCACAGGTGTCTTGAGGCCTATAAGAAAGGGAGAGGTACCTTTTGATTTATACACTTGACACAAGTGACAGTTAAACAGTCCTTCTGGACTGAAGTCTATTGCATACATGTAAATCGGTAGTGGGTTAATTCCGTTCGGTTGATGTTGGGTGGCATACAATCCGTTTATTCGAATGAAACGTTTTATGAAAAACCGGGATATACCAAACGATTGACGGATTCGGGGATTAGAGAAAGAGAGAGTGAAAATCAAAGAGACACAGAGTAGGATTCCAGGCTGGAATTTACTGACCCAATGGGTAGTAAACGGATTTGGGCGAACATTTCTGGTAAGACAATTTCACATGCTCGGCACTATCCAAAACAGGGTGACTACGAGGTGAAACAGAACAGTGAACCACAATGGAAGACAAATAAACGTCGCAAAGAAATTAAGTTAATCACTAGTATCTAAAGTTGGGGTTATGGTGTACTGATATTTACTCAGTTTCCTCAATATTTCATTACATTTTACACGAGGGAGCTAACTGCCGCCCATATGTTTGATTATTCCGGTGAATATAAAAATAACAATACCAAAACAATCAATACGTAGGTTTTCAAAGCTGCTAAGAACGGCACGTTCTCATCAAATG